AGCAGTGATGGGCTTCGCTTACTATAACGCAAGTGCTCCACCTCTTCCTCTGCCTGCAGCCTCCCCCTCAGAATGCTTTGCACACTGAAATGTTTTGCATTTTCACCCCTGCTAATGTGTATACAAATGATCCCTCTGCCCCCGAGGTGCACAAATAACAAGCAGACAGACATAGCCTAAGAGACAGCAGTGCAGAGCCCATAACATTGTGGCAGAAAGTAAAAAATAAAACATCCAGGGCTGGGTTCAGAATAATAGCATAATAGGGTAAGTGTGAGTGAATCAGGAGGCGGTAATGGCCCTGAAGATGTAGAAATTCTGGCAAAGTAGGGCAGCATAAAAGCAGAGACACCATCTGTGGGATCCGAGCCGTTGTGACTTGGAATGACACAAAATGGAGCTCTGTTACACAACACAACAAATAGTAGTAAAGTAATCTCCGGCCTTAACAATTGTCATGCATTCTTTGTTTGAAAAGCCACCTTCCCAGCCATGAGTACCAGAGTAGCCATGGTTATAAACAGCAAGGCTATTAATTGCCTCTTCCTCTAGCTAATTAAAGTACAAAAAGTGAGAATCAGAAAAAAAAACTGATGCTTTCTTTTTTCCCTTGATGTACTCTTCCCATAACTAGCGCTGGGCCCTGCACATGGCCTCACTCCATCTCACTCAAGTATGATAAACCGCTGTATTAGTAGACAGCTACATCACAAGTGACTGAGAAACTAAGTTTTGTTGCGCATGTGTATGTGTCAGGCGTGATTCTTGGTGTTTTCTGTGTATCATCTCATTTGGACCTCACAACACTGTGAGCTCTGTCTCAATTTTAAAGGCAGAGAGGAATGTCATAGTCACTGGCCCATTGCTGAGAATAATACCTGACTCCTGCAACTTAAGGAGGAGTTTATTTTGGCTCAGGGCTTCAAACCGCGGTTGGCTGGCTGCAAGGCAGAAATAGGGCAGTGGAGGGGCCCAGCAGAGGAAAAGGTGCCCAATCCCTGGCAGCCAGGAAGCAGAGGGAGAAGAGAGGAGGCAAGGACAAACACACACCCTTCCACACCCTCGGTGAGCTGCCTCCAATCAGACCCAGCCTTCTAAAGGTACTTTTAGCTATGGAACTCATCAGTGAATGAATGCCCTGATGACTATAGCGCCTCCATGATCCAGTCACCTTTCAAACACATGAGACTTTGGAGGGACATTTGAGATCTAAACCATAACCAGGAGGTTCAGAGAAGCACAAAGACTTGCTCAACATTGCCCCATGGTACAGCCAGGATTTTTATTTGAGACCAGATGACTTCTAGGTCCATGCTTTTTTCTCTGCATCCCATTTTTCCAGAGGTGGAAAAATCAGTGAATGCTTTACATCTCATCTCAGACCTCTGTCCAACGATCCAGCTTATTACAGAATAAAGGTTCTTTTGACGTGAAATTCTTCTCTTTAAGTCTTAGGAAACCAGGAATTGACTAATACAAACTTTCAAGTAATTGGAGTGATTTTTCTATCTTTCAACTTTAGGTGAAAGAGACAAAGGAGAGGCAAAACAATTAGTTTAAGAGTTCAGAGAAAGCATTGATTTCTAGAATATACATTTGTTTCAGTACCATTTTTCAGCTTAATTATCTGTACCTTCTCCTCTATTAAACTATGACTGCTAAGATTCCAAATTTCCACAACCCACAGGTATAGAAAGGACAGAAGAGGACCAAAAGAAACTGTAGAAGAAAGAGTGCTGCTTTTGAAAGTCTGAGATCATGGGTTTTACTCCATGTGCAAATGCATAGCCTGGAGCTCTAGGCAAATTCATCGTTCTAACTCCAGTTCCACTAGCTGGACTGTAGGCATGTAGCACTCTGAAAGATAGTTGGGAAAATTCATTGAGATTATGTATGTGCAAATCATAAAGCATAAGAGGTTGTAGACTTGGTTACTATGTCTTAGTTTCCTTCATAAGGCAGAAAAGTGATTTCAACCCTAAGTGAGACAAAGTGAATATTGGTCATTTGAATTTTTCTATTTTTACCACTAGGGAAACATCTGTGAAATGGGTCAAGAAGGTTGTGGAGATTTAAGTCATTTTGCCAATAGTATGATTCCAGTATGGAATTTATGCCATGGCAATCAGTTTTCTGCTTCCTATATTATTTCTGATTCTATCAGTGAAGGGTTAGATATTAAACAGCAACAACAAAACAGGTTTAAGCAGCTCCCAGTAGAATTTTCCAGTTTATTGCTTTAATTCAAGAACCCAATTTTCTCTAAGCAGCCTTAGCCAAGGGACCCACATGGTATAGTACTAGACTTAACTCTTAATGTTATTTGCTTTTCTCGGTAATCCATTGCTTTATGGCTCCACCCTATACCTAGAAACTCAACTTTTTCCTTATTCCCATGAATCTGGATAATCAAGGGCACCCTGGTGATTCCTACATGATGAACATCATGAGGAAGAGAAAGAAAGGCCTTGAGGAACATCTTTAGTTGTGTTGACAGATGATCCTTACATGGGATAGCATTGTCCAGCATTGCAGCAGGACAGATCTTGCTTTGAGTCTTGGATTTACCACTTGTGATCTTAGGATGTTGGGAAAGTGACTTAGCCCCTCTAAACCTCAATTTCTTTATTAATAAAATTAATACTGTATCAGCTCATGGATTATTGAGTAAACAAATTACTAAATAAAATTAGCTTTGTATTTGTCTTATTAATTTCCTTTAGTTACTTTCTAATATCTCTTGAGAGTGAGGTATAGTTTATCCCCAATGATTCTAAAATCAGTTCAGCTTCCCTGCAGCTTTTTCTCCTTGTGTTGATCAGATGGACACTGAGCTGCTTTGGGTTTCTCAGTTGAAGACAGTGTCATCCTGTGATGTTGCCCTTGGCTCCTGCCTCTTCACCCCTTACCTCTCTTGCTCCTTCTTCCCTCCTTGAGGTGGGGGTCACAAATGCTAATGTCAAGATGCAGATGGAGGCTTTCTGTCAGGAATCCTGAGCACAGCAACCATTTTTATCTATTTGCAATTATTTGTTTCTTACTGCAGACGCTGCTCTTTAGCATTATTGATCTCCTCTGTCTACTGAGCCACATCAGATGACTTTGACCTGGTCTGCACCAAGAACAGTCCAGGCGGCCACCTGAGACTGTCTCTGCTGTGACTGACTCAGTCTCCTAATGTTTGCGTATAGCTTTTTGTTTTACCTTGAAATGATTGGCACACTTGCAGGTGAGGGCAGGGTTATATCCTTGGGATATAATGTCTCTCAATATAGTGATAACATCGCTTAGGGTCACATTCCCTCCCTTTTCTTCTTCTCCCCTGCTTGCGCTCTACCACTGAGCTATATTTCAGCTCCTTCTAATTTTTCATTTTGAGACGTAATCTCTCTAATATGCCCAGGTTGGACATGAATGCAGCCTCTGAGCAGCTGGGATTATAGGTGTGTGTAGTTCCTGTGATCCCAGCAATGGAAAAAAATCTCTCAACACTTCTCTTGGAAGTTGGTTGATACAGTTTTTGAATGAAGCAAAGAAGGGCTGGAGAAGAAATTATTTAATTAGCACATATAAACAAATTACAAGATGAATTGAAGAGGAAAAAATGGTTTTTACTCCAGATACCATCTTTTTATCTTTTTCAATTTCTTCCTAGAGTTGACATTTTTCCTAGATTACCTTCTAGGGCTCTCATGAGAAATTGGAGTCTTTTTTTTTTTATTCATTTATTTTACCTTTTCAAAAAAGACTAGGAGTATTAGTCTTCCCAATTACTGTTACTTGCCAGACTTCCTTACTCTAGCTGGGCACACCTAATTCTAGGTCCTGCCTGATAATCCAGGTACCCTGCCCTTTGTGTTGCCTCAAGACAAGTAAGTGTCTGTGCTTCTGGAAGCTTTGAAGAAGAATATCCCTGGGGAAGCTAGAAGAGCCCTGCTTGAAATACTTCATTTTTCATAAGACAATGATGATAACTTGAATGAGGGGCAAATATGTTGCAGAAAAATAGGCTTGTGGGGGGCTGGGGATTTAGCTCAGCAGCAAAGCGCCTGCCTGGCAAGCGTAAGGTTGTGAGTTGGGTTCCCGGTACCGGAGAAAAACAAAAACAAAACAAAAACAAAACAAAAAAAATAGGCTTGTGGTCCACAGAAGGGGTCAATAAAGACTCTGTCTGAACCATAAAGTAAACCAGAGAGTTGAGGCGAGAAACTGGTCCTAAAATCTCTGCTTAGGAGAGATTTAATTTGATTGCTTCTTTTACATCTATTGTCTTCCTAATTCATCATCTCTATCAAATTTTACTGCTGCATGTCTAGTACCCTTCTTCTCTGTCTCTTTCTTTGTGTGTGTGTGTGTCCCCAGCAGGTGAGGACAGGTGATACAGTGTGTAAGATAATGCTCTCATCTCAATCTTAAAATCCATTTCATTTTAGAATGAGCAATATTATAAAAATTATTAACTAATATGTGTAGTCAAGTATGGTTCCGAGCAGGTAAAAGACAGTGAGTTGACCATCAGACCATCACCCGTAGTGCAGTTTTCACTGTGTGGTATAATCCTTTTATTTTTTGCTGACATGGCTAGCACCAATCATCCTAGTACATCACACACACTCTACAGCTTTAACTTGTTACCATGACAACCTCAACATTCTCCCACCATAACAAAATTTAAATATGTGGCTATGAATTTGAAAAAAAAAAACAACTACAAGATCAGATAAAGCCCTAGTCACATAAATCTGTTTCATTTAACATTTTGGGATATTTTCCATAATAACAGTTCTGCGTATAAGTTCTTGAGCTGCAATTCACATTTAATCCTTTCTGAACAGGTGCACAATATTCAAGCTCTTCTATAGGAAATAGGCAAATAGATGCTTTTTAAAGTTATTAACGATGCATATAAACCACTGTGTTAAGTTCTTGGATTAGTGTGCCCTCTAGTAACAGACCAAAAATATATGACAATTTTTAGAAATAGGAGTTTATTCCCTTACCTCATAGTGATGCAATCTAGTCTATAGTAGCTTTCTTCAATGCAGTGACCAGGGATCCTGGTTCTTTTTGTCACATATGTTGGCTAGCTCCTTAGTGCACATCAGCCTCTGTATCCATGTAGCCAAGAGCAGGTAAAAGACAGAGCATTAGTCAGCTTTACATCACCATAATAAATACCTGAAATAATCAATTTATAAAGAGAAAAGGCACATTTTGGCTCAGTGTTTAGGGGTACTAGTCTATGATCAGGCAGACCCATTGCTTTTAGGTCTCTGATGGGGATGCTCGATGGCAAGTGTGGGAATATCTGATTGAGCAGAACTATTCACTTCATGACCAGGAAGCAAGGTGGAGAATGAAGAAGCAAGAATCCTACAGTCCCTTCCAAGGCCATGCCCCTAATGACTTCGCAGTAAGGTCCACATCTCAGTGGTCCACTACCTCTTGAGAGTGTCAAGCCAGAAACCAAGCCTTTATCACATGGGCCTTCGGGGGCCACTCAGCATCCAAACTACGGCAGAGAGCATGGCACATTGTAAGAGCCACAGAATGAAATATGTCAACTCTGTTCTTCCAGTGCATAACACTGTCCTATGGCTGCACATAGATATAGATGGAGGGGGGAAATGTAGTCCCTAGCTTCTGAACAGCAACTCTGTCTCCAGTAGGGAAAGAAAATCATGAAATTAAGAGCTTGCTAGTTAACTCTGTCACCAAGTAGGTAGGTAGAAAGATGAGTAAGGCGTGTTTATAGCACATGAAAGCTTTGCAGTTTGTAAGGGTGAAAGCCATGCAAACATGTGTGCTGTAGCAAAGAGGCAAGTTGGTACATGGGGAGCAACTGCTCCTGCTTGGCAGAGTTGGAGGAACTGTGGGAACCGCATTGAAAGGCAGCTGTACCTTAGACTGATAAGGATAACTAGTGTACAGTAATTTTAAAATAATGAACTTGCTTTACAGCATGTGTGTAGGAGTGGGAAGCTAGAGAAGGTGGAAATGAGGAGGAATAATTAGGTAATATAGTTGTCCCCACTGGCTCCTAAGCAAGAAACCTATTTCTCCCTCACTTTCTACTTGCCTTATCAGGAGTCGGTGACCTTGATGAGACTTTTTCAGCACTGTAGCTTTGGTTCCTTTTGATCTCTTGTCAGCTGCTATCACTGTCAGAATGACCTGCCTCTGTAAAAAAATTCAGCTTTCATTTCAGCCTTATGAGGATGCTAAATTATGAGAAAATGTCAGGATGAGAGGAAGGTCTAAACCTTGTGGACATATTATTTGAAGGAGTCATGGAAGGACGCTAAGATCTCTTCACACAGCACTGCAAGGACTAAGAAGGTCTGTATTTTGACCTTCTGGGTCTTTCTGCAGCCATGGTGGATGTAACTGTCTCCAGTGCTGACAGCTGCTGCATTCCAGCCTGGGAAACTGTGAGTGGAAATTTCCCTGTCTAGAGTAAGGGTGGCTGATTATAAGTTTATCCACAGATACCACGACTCCAGACATACATTCATGGGCAGGTAGGATGATGGGTAGATATGTGGTAATGCACTTTGATTACCATGAAACAATTATAAATTAAATGGAAACCTGGAAATAATTTGGAAAGTTACAGTTACTTAAATAAAAGTGAAAGAGGTTACAGAGTCATTATTAACAATATTTATTTTATCATTATTATTTCTTAATGTACTGATTATTTATTAATATTTGTATTGATAATTATCAATGCCTGTATTAATATAGGGAAACATGGAGACTTTCCCTATGGATGTTTATACAAAACACTTCAACTAATCCTTTTTACTTAAGGAAAAATAGAAGTTAGATTTGCATCAAACATTGTCAGTGATTATATGGGATACCGGGTAGATGTGGTGAATACAGCAAGAGATTGAGCTGGGTGAACAGAAGATGTTGCTCTTCAGCATTTGGGTTTAGTTTGTGAGACAGAAACAGCAAATAAGGTAATTGACAAAAGCATGAAACTAAATGCTAGGTAAATGTGTTAGCATTTTGTTTGGACAAAATACCTGAGAAAACTTAGCTTTGGGAAGGAAAGATTTATTTGGGTTCATGGCTTCAGAGGCTTAAACTTATGGGTAGCTGTCTCCAGTACTGCTAGGCCTGTGGTGAGGCAGAAGCACCGTGGTGGAGGGGTGTAGCCGAGGGAAGCTGTGCACCTCATGGGAGCCAAAAAGGAAAGAGAGAGAGAAAGAAGGGAAGGAGAAAGAGTCAGATGCAGTGGTCACCACCCAACACTGGGGTGGTGTAGTCTACCTTCAGTGTGGGTCTGCTTCAGTTTGCTGTCTCACATGCAAATTGTCTCAGGAAATCCTCTCACAGACAACCCAGAAGTGCGCTTTACTGATTTCCTGAGTAGTTCTCAATCCCGTCAAGTTGACAAGGTCATATGTTACAGCAAACAAGCAGAAGAAATGGAGGCAGTTATTTAGATAACTAGATAAAGACACTTTTCTATGAATTATTGTACATGCTTACAAATCATTGCCACATAACAGATCCACGTTTGCTCTTTTATTTTTTAGGAAAAATAGTTACCGTCATTTCAAAGTTTTGCTTGGTTTTCAGATCTTGGGGATAATTGTAGCTTTGCTTCTCATTCAATCCAAAACACCCAACTTATCATTTAACAGCCTTGGACCTTAGTTTTTATAGATCTATAGAGTCTATAAATCTATCTTACTCTCTGTAAATCGATAGCTTTAATAATGCCTTTATAGCCTGGTGTTGGGTTCTAAATGTGTGCACTCACTGTTTGCACTTTTCCTTATGATTGCCTTTCATATCCCTTACTTCACTGATTTACATGATGGACATTTTAATCCTAATAGAACCCCCCATCTCTCTCTTCTTCCCCATTGAAGTTATTGGTCTTCCTTGCACCCTACTGTTTATTGCCCAGACTTTAACCATTCCAGATTCAGAGCTTGGTTTTTTTTTTTTTTTTTTTTTTTAATAATTGACTCACAGAGGTGAGAGATTTGAGATCCTGAATTTCAAAATTGACAATGTTTCCTCTAATTCTGTCTTACTTGCTTTTCTCTTGTTGCTGAGACAAAATATCTGACACCCAAAATTAAGGAAGGAAAGGTTTATTTAGCTCATGGTTGGTGGAGGTTTCAGTACATACTTGGCTGGCTCTGAATGAGGCTGGTACATGGCAGAGGGCAACAGTTCATGGTGGCTGAAAACAGCAAAAGCAACAAGAGCAAAAGGGAAGAGCAGTAGTGGGAATAGCAAGCCTCTTTCCCTTCCTTATGTCGTACGTAACCTACCCAGCCCAGGGTGGGTGTAGCTCTCATACCCATAATCCCAGCATTGGACCATGGATCAATTATAAACTCTAGAAGCCCGCCCCATGACTGCATGAAGTTTTGGGGGGACATCCAGACACAAACCATAACAAATTCTTTCAATTTATGTCTATTATGTTTATGACATATTGGTAGAATATATTTACTCTATTCAAGCAGATTTTGTGTTTGCCATATTTTGATTGTTGATAGAATAGATGACCTAGAATTTCAAAAGCATGTTGAACTCCAAAATCATTTGCCTTGACTTTGTCCAGAAAAGGACATAGGTTTAAATTCCTCTAGAGGCAGGTATTTCTGAGTGATAAATTGGGGCAAAAGGGAGTCTAGTCATCAAGGCTCAAAGAGTGAGGTCTTCAAAATCCAGGTAACACCAGAAGATCACCAGAGGTATTTTAGTCAATGAATATAAAATTGCTATAGTTTTAGAAATTTCTTCCATGTCATAAACAAATGCCCCTTCCAACAGGGATGAAACTTTCCAACAAAGTCTGCATCATAGAATAATCTTGCCTTTTCCCTCAGTGGGCACTGAATTATGCTTTACAGTTATAAGGAGTCTTACAAGTCATTTAATCTAAATTTATAACAATTGGAGGCCTTCTACATATGGCATTCAGGCTCTGTGGGGACTCTTAAGTTATATTAATAATAAGAATATGCAGTCACTTTATCTATTTTTCAACTAATTATAAGTTTCAAAAGAGCTCTGAGTGGCAAATGTTAAGATCAATCAGCTAATATAGATACGAACCAGAGTTTTAATTATAGCTGTAGCAAACGTCCTATATTTAATGTTGATGAGTAATGGCAGACCATGAACTGTTCTGGTAATAGAAAAGCAGCCTGTAGTTCCAGAAAACAAAACTTTTCCAATTTCATATGTGTAGTCAGTTAAGTCCCTCCTCAGATCTGAAATGCCACTATTCTAAAGATGGTAGACAGTGAACTGGTAATCAGCATGGGTAAGGATTGAAACACTGACCAAAGCACATAACTATTCATGATGATTATTACCACCTCTTTTCTGGCCTTACATTACTTCTTCCTTTCAAATCTCAATTCTTTTCCTTTGCTCTTCTTACTCTTTTCAGTGATGATCTTTTGATTAACTGTGACAATGAAAAATCCTAGACCATCTTTACCCACTATTATGATACATACTGCTGACCTGGGTATGTGCCCTGGGAAGCAAAGTAACAATGAATTTATGTTCAGTAAAATAATTTCAGAGGCAAGTGGGTACACACATTTGTGCATGTAGAGGGAAATTATAATATGAATCAAACACAATATTCTGTAATTATTATCTCTTTTAATTCATTTGAAGTAAAGCTACTCTCTGTTAGGACAAGGTATCTAGAACAGAGGAGGGCTTATATTTCCATGCAGTAAGAACTAATAAAATACCCATGACTCGTATATTTGTTCCTTTCTAAAGTCCCAATACATACTCATATATTAACAGACCTTATTTTTCAATATCTTCATGTTTTCTTGTCTCATCTGGACTAAATTGTCACTTCTTGTGTACATGGGCTGGCAGTTACCTTCAGGTTTACCCAGATATCTACTTCTGTACCTAATGTTTGATAAATGACAGTGATAAATGATCATATACTTCCTGGGAGGGCAGGTGTATTTTCAAAGGTCAGGCACATCTGAGCGATCCGTTCATGATCTGTAAATGTAGAAGTCAGGAGCTAGGGTGAAACAAACAATAGAAAAAGCTAAAAGTGCCGCAGAGATCATAGCGACCCTGAGCTGGGAGTGCAGGACTAGTGTGCTTTCAAACCAATACTCTTTACAATCATTCAGGAACTTGGTGAACACAGAACCACGGACCCTACTGGTACTGGAATCTTTGACGAGACTCTGATTGATTTGGAATGAAATGTAGTGGAAATCCTGGAAGGAAAATTCATCACTGTCCCTGAGATATGTCTTTGCCAACTTTCCTTTTCAGAGGCATTTTCCATAATTATCTCCTTTGCTGCTTAAAAAGCCCTTCGCACCCACTAATGAAGTACAGCTCAGTGGATTGTGGTCCTCACTTTTCAAAGCCTAGGTTATTAGATGCGGAAAGTTCAGGGTAATTGCCCTAGATGAGGCTGTTTCGATTTGAAATGAACCTAGACATTTAGGATGTCAGCATTTAGGCTGTCGGTCCTAAAATTCAGTCTCTGACCTCTCTGAATCTAAATTGCAACTCCTTTATGTGTGGCTTATGGACCAACTTAGTTATTCATTCAGCATACACTTCCTGAATATCACTTTATACCAAGTTAGATGATGGAAAAGTTAAGATGAGTAAAACCATCAAGAATTTCAGTTGAGAGAAAGAGATAGAATTATACTATGATATAATTACTAAAATACAAATGAATGAGTACATTTGACTCTTGAGAATAGAACATTTGACTCTGTATAGGGACTGAGGGGAGATGGTATTTGATCTGCATGCTGAAGAATTAATAGGAATTTCCAGGTAGAAAAAAGGGGAAGATGGCATTTTTCACAGGGATGAATCTGGGTGGTTTCTAACAATATTCCCTTCCTTTCTTAAGATGGTACATAGTAAATGTTCAACAACAATAACTTCATTATTATTAATCCTTAAAATAAACTTATTAATAGCTGTCTTTTAATAGATGAGTAAAGAGAGCTTTCTAGTCTGGATTCAATATCCTCATGGCTAAACACCATTGGTATTATTTGATGGTTATTGGCAGTAGTATAGTCTTATTAGATTGGACACAAAGACTTGGCTCAATTGGTCTTAAAAAGTAGTGGAATCTTCTGGCATGTTATTTGGTAATTCATGAATTTCCTTTTTCCCAGTTGATATAGAGTAACTCTCTGATCTTTCTCTCTCATTCCCACCTCCCGCTGGAATATAGGAGTAAAACTTTCAGTTTGTAAGGGGAGAGCCGTTTCTGGCTATGGTCGAGCAGTTACATCCCAGCTACCAACCTCCCCACCAGCTGTCATACCCTCTACCTGCTGCCAAGTGGCCCTGGAAGGACATCCAAGTGATTTCTGGCCCTTGAAGACATCAAAGCCATTCCTCTCCCTTCCCATTCTTTCTATTGAATGCGCCACTGGTTGATATAAATGGAGACAAAACTGAGCAGCCTCAGCCACTTGGGAAGAATTCAGATCCATAGGAAGGGGGGGGGGCTCAATGACCAGGGCAGGGAGCTGACTTACAGCTTCCAGGGACATAGGCAGAAACTCAGGCCCTGAAAGCCCCCAGGAAAAGACCAATGGGCCAGGTGTGTAGACATGTACCTGGTGTCCTGCATGGGTACCAAAGGTGAAGCCCACTGTCTTGAGTTATTTCCATACCGCATAATAATCAGGTCACTGTTTTGAGATTGTGTCAAACAGAAGCCTCTTCTGTTGCTGAAGAACCAATCAACCTAAACTAATACTTTAATGAACACTTTTTCCAAAGAGAAAACAAATTCAGGCAAAAGCAAAATGAAGCAGAGAGCAGAGAAGAACCTTGTCTGGTCAATGAAAAGAAAAAAGAGACGTCTGGAGCCATGGCAATGGAGTAGGGATTACTTTGATCTGGAAAATAGGTTTCTTTCGTTTTTTTCATTTTCTTTCTTTTTTTTTTGTCCACCAGTGCTTGTTCTCAGGCAGCCAAGAGATGCTATTGAGCTTGATGAAGGAGGCCCTTTCAGGATAAAGGGGGAACTCAGAGGAGAGCTGAATAACTGCTTTCATGGACAGCTACTTTAATAGTCTCATGTTTGAAAAATATGCTATTAAAGGAAATACTATTACAAATAGCCTGTGTTTGTTCCTTTAAAATACTATAGATTAAAAGAAATGATGAGAGAGGTGTGCAAGATTATTATGTTGACTGGAAACTACAGTTTGACAGAAGGAAACACACATACGCACACACATACACACACACACAGACACAAAATATCTGAAGAGATAGAGGAAAACCACATTTAAGTCATAGACTCTTCACACCTTCACTTATGAAAGTGATTTTTGGGGAAAGTCTTGCGTAGCAGGCTTTTAAATGACTTTCTGTCATTAGAGTTAATGAAAATGAAAGTGCTATTGACTTAGGATTCAATTTCTAGTAAGCTTAATTGGTGGAAGTTGAGCAGTTTCATGGGTGAGAATGCTGCTTTTTTATTAATTAAGTTTATTGGTACCTTTTAGGTATACATGATGATCACATTCTTCATAGGGAATTTGTACCTGTATATGATATTACTTGCTTCTTTTTTTTTCCCATTCCCCTACCCTGCTTTCACCCCCTCTTTATTTACAAAAGCTTTGTTTTCATTTTTCTTTCTTTTTTCATTTGTTTCTTTTCCCCTCCCTCTTTTCCCCCAAAAGGGTAAATAAGGGCCAAAATGTGTATACCAGATTTTGTGAAATAGGAAGAAAATGTGGAAATGGGATGGCAGGAAAATGATGGTTTTTAATGAACATTTCTTCAGCATTTTAAAAGAAATAGTAGTGATCCTGGACAGTTTGAGCTTGCATTTTTCACTGACGTTTGCCTTTACCTCCGAGCCTTCGGCCAGGTCCATTTGCATCCCACCACCTACTTGGGTATGACACCCTCTCTCCTCTTGGATCTTGGCCTTGGTGAATTGGGATACAATCAGCAGACAAGTGGATGTATGTCGTTAGTGGAGGACAAAGGAAGACTTTGTCCTTTCTGAAATAGATGGAAACATCTCTGGCTATTCTCTTAAGAGATTACCAAAATCTTTGTCCAGGTAACATGCCTTGTTGTCATGGCAACAGCAAGATGATTCCTGTCTCTTTATTCTTTTTACTTGGCCTTCACGAATTTATTTAACACTTTTGTGACTCATGTATAACTTCCATTTAAAAGTGGATATTCGGCTTTTCTGCCTATTAGTAGAAAAGAAGAAAACCCAAAGCATAATTTTATGTTTTATGCATTTGGTGTTTTTGTTTTTCCTGTCAAAGTTGATCAGACTTATTTGTTAGTTCCTAAATTGTATACAAATTAGTTTAAGATACATGTGGCATTAGGCCTTGTCTTTTCTAAGCTGAAATTCGGTGAGCATTTATTATGATCTGGTCTATACTTAATCCTCAAAATGAATCCGTGTGTAAGCTTTCTTATTGTGTTATTTTCTTTTTTTTTTTTTTTTTTTTTTTTTTTTTTTTTGGTTTTTCTCCGGTACCAGGAACCAAACTCACGACCTTGCACTTGCCAGGCAAACGCTTTGCCGCTGAGCTAAATCCCCAGCCCCTATTGTGTTATTTTACAGATGAGAACTGGAATCACTGAAAAGTTGAATAATTTGCCTCTTGTCACAGAGCTCACAAGTGATGCAGCCAGATGGCACACTCTAACTGCAGGCTTTAAGTGTGACTGTGTTATCCTCTGATGACCCTTTTGAGATGGTCCCCTCCTAAGACGTGACTTACTATTCCACCAGGGATGGAAACAGAGCTGAGATTTCAAGCTAAATCTTAAGCGCAAAGCATTCACATCAGACCCAAGTAAGAACATCTTCATAGGAAGAACAACTTCACATTGAGATGAGAGGCTAAAGGAATTGTGGAGTTTTTTTGGAATCTAATAATGTGGGGGAAAGTCTCTGGAAGCGAAGAGATGGGCTAGTCTAGTTCTGTTCTCTTCTAAGGTCAGAGGACCTTCCAAGATTCTGATTCTGTGGGATTGTGTTGATACACAGTTGATATACTGCTGGTCACTGGAACCAGTAAATCACAGTCCCTGGGACTCGATATAACACAGCCCTCTCTGTGCAGCTGCACCAAGGCCCCCTGCGGGGCAGGTCACCTAACAGCGCTGAGTCGCCATCTGGTGCCCCAGTGGGAAATGGCTGAATAGCCACTGCAAGGTAACCAGAGACCCACCTAGAGCTCTTCAAGTGCCACATTAAGTTCCAGTAGTTTCCAGAATATCCTGCTTGAGCTCTTCTCTTTCTCTCTCGACCTTCACGATGCTTGGCCTTCTCCCTAGACCTCTCCTCTCTTCTTTATTTCTCTTTTTTTAGTAATTAATCTACTTCAGAAGAAAGATAGCATACTAGTTAAAGGTGTGGTCTCCAGGAGCCAGCTGACCTGCATTTGAATCTTACTCCTGCCATCACTAGTAACTTTGAGCAAATTATCCTACTGCAGCCATTTTATCAATAAAAGGGGGGAAATGATAGCATCTTCTGCTGAGTCATTGATAGGATTGGGCAGGGAAACACATATCTAAAGTACTCAGAGTGACATAGCCAATGATTTATTGTTATTATTATTCAATCCTTAAAATTTCAGCCTGCATCACCAAACTCTCCAAATAGACTTCTCATGGCCCCATAGACTGGCATGATGGGTAGTTACTGCTGTTTTGCGCTTCTGCAGTGACCTGTACTTCCTGTAGCCTACTACACAGCTTGTCTGTCCTCCCTGAAAGACTGAACAGGTTGCTGGAGGAAGGTACCTTGGTTTGCTCACCAACACAAAATTTGTGTGTGACATTTATTTTGGTGCTGTATCAGAAGTGGGAAGATCATCCTAGACTTGAGTAGGGAAAATAATTTTTTATTAATGTTACCAAGTAATTGCTTAAGTAGTATTCTGTTAACCTGGTACAGTTTTAGGCACTTTTGGGGACACACACACACACACACACACACACACACACACACACACACACACACGAAGAGAAATGAGAGGCAGAGAGGGAGAGGGAAGGAAGGAGAGAGAGAAACAGAGAAAGAGGGAGAAAGGGAGAGGGGGAGAGAGAGAGAGAGAGAGAGAGAGAGAGAGAGAGAGAGAGAGAGAAGGGGGAAGAAGGAGAAAGAGAGAGAGTGGTAAGTTACTTCACCTATGGTTTTATGGAAAACCCAAGCAAGAGAACGAACACATCTCAGATACAACTAGCCAGTCAGTGCAACAGCAGAAGGTGACTTGCACAAAATGGAATTTCATTAGAAGTTTAAAGTCAAGGTTTCCTGTGAGCCTTACAGGGTGTATTTAGTGAAGCAGAGGAGACATTTCAGGAGAGGAGAGTAGAAACAAGTGCACAACTGGAGATAACATGGGGCCAAGACCCAGTGGTGAGGAGAGTGGAAGCCAGACAGAGGTTCTGGGCTGAGAATTTACAACGCTATAGGAAGAAATCAGTGGTTAAGGGCATGGATTTTATTGTCAGAATAGTCCAGGTTTGAATGCTGACTTAGCTATAAACTGGATCAGTGACCATGGGCAAAAATACATTACTTGCTAAACTTTAGTCCTTTTCTTAGTAAATAGGAGGAAATGTTTCTCCCTTATAAGGTTTCTATGAGGATTAAAGGAGGTATTGCATGAGTGAGTCAAAGGCTGGCATCTAGTGAGTGTTCAGCTGTTATTTCAAACATATCTCTGAATTTTAAATTTTGTTTATTTGTTTATTTGCCGTACTAGGGATCAGTGAATCAGGCCCTTCACTGAACTGTGTCCTCAGCTTTTAGTAAGTGTTTAGTAAGTTCCTAAGCTGCCCAGGCTGGGCTCAAACTTGTGACCCTCTTACCTCCCAGAGGACTGGGATAATGAGTGTGTTCCACCATAAACAGAAAATTTGTGATTTTTTTATTTTCCAGATTGTAAAGAAGTGAGACACATTCAGAGAGAAAATAAAACATTTCATTTCCAGGCTCACTAAAGGAGAGTTTTACCCATTTTCTTTTGTTTAAAATATCCCAATTTTATAATTGACTACACATTTAACTACATGGATTGCAGCTAAAATTTGCAAAAGGTTATTGCATTTCAGTAATCCCACAGTCTGGATAGGCAGGGTGGGAGAGGAACTGTGCCCAACTTGGAGCTGAGGCAATTGAGGCATAGAAAGGTTAGAGACTTTTTCCAGGGTTATAAAATTAGAGAAGGGGCACCATGGGTATGTGCATCATTTCTGACACCAGTGTGATCCCCTTCCCCTCCTTCACCACCAAACAAGCATGTTTTATTCTGATGACCCTAAAATTATCCTCCCTGGTCTCTGCCAAATACTTTTAGAAGTTGTATCACATCGTAATGTAAAGCAAGAATGTAAAAAGGCATTTCAAGGACAGTGATTTAGCATTCATTTTCTCTAAAGGACAATTGCAAGAATACAAATAAAGAAATATGTTTACTAGATATCTCAAAAGTATCAAAAACATACTGTACAGACAACTACAGCTACAGGGACCTGGTTTTCTGTTTCTAGACAAACACTGGGCACCATACACCAAGCATGGTATGGTTTATTGCAGAGATTTTTGGTTATTTTGAGCTCAGAGAATTGATGTCATTACACAGTGAATTTCTAGTTTTTGGCTCCATTGGTTAATTGGCAGAAGGCCTACCACTTTATCTACTTTAGCACAACATCTTTAAGCAATCATAAAGGGACCCTTTTGGAGAAAGTTGGGAACTCCTGGTGGTTTAAATCCCTTCTCAGGCCCTATAAGGGCAATTGAACAATGTTTCCAATTGGGAACTGAGTAGATCCTGCAGGTAAATTACTTTGGAGCCCACTGGAGAGTTTTTGAGCTTCATGTCTGGAATTCATGTGATGATAGACCACTTTAATTTTGACCTGAAGCACATATAATAAACGATTGAAAGCTCAAGCGTGTTGGCTTTTGATGATCCCTGGGATAAAAATATATACGAAAAGTGTATATCCCATTGCTCTTACTTTATCTGAGACCAAGATGGTTGATAATTTGTTATGCTTGTAAGATTGTTGAAGACACTTAGAAAGGCTTGAAGAATCATCAGACATTGTTTATAGACAAATTTCAGAAATGAAAACCATAGTCTTCTGGGGGTATTG